AATTATTATTTTCTAACTTATAAATATAAAAAAAGTTATATCACATATATAAAACATTTCATATCTATAAATATATACATATCATAAAAAAATATTATATTATTATTATCATCAAATATACATATCATAAAAAATATATACTTGTTGTATTATATTGAGAAAAATGGTACAATCATGACAAAAAAATATTATATCAACATTATCAAATGCTTCTCCTATCCTAAATATAAGACCCATTTTGTAGTGTAATTTACACTACAAAATGGGTCTTATATTTAGGATCGAAGGAGCATCATTTAAAATAGTTTTTACTAAAAAGGATAAATTTGGAATTTAAAAAGAACAGTGGCTGTAAGATTTAAAAAAAAAATTACGGAAAAGAATAAATTTGAAATATTTAAAAACTAATATGAATAATTTTATCAAAGAGACATAATATTTTTTCCCTTTCAAAAAATCTCAAATTTGAAAGGAGCAGAAGGATGGGAGGGAAGCATTAAAAGACAATTTTTTCCCTCCCCTCCCCTTCATTTTTTCAAACCAAACACAATTTCTCATCTCCTCCCTCTCACTTCCTTCCAAAACCTTCCAACCACATCTTCATTGGACGCAACATTTCTTTGATTATGTGCAGCTTGTGCATAATTAAAGATATACTACCTCCGATTCTTAATATAAAATCTCGTTAGATTTTTATTTTGATCCTAAATATAAGACTCCAATCCAATTTGTCTTTTATATTTATATATTTTTTCTAAGATAATCCTTTTAATAATAGTAGTTTAGTCAATACACTTAATTAGCAAAGATATTTTAGGAAAGATAACACCTATTTATTACAAATAATTAATTAACTTTTTTCTTAATCTATTCAAATTAGTTAATTAGTTTTTATATCTAAGACGGAATGTAGTATTGTCTATAGTTGAAGACTTGAAATAGAGTTGCATATGGTCTTTAAATAAATTTTTGGTGCCTCTGGGCAATAAATATTTCAATGGGGGATTTTGAGCAATTTTTTCAATAGTTATCTCCCATAAATTAGAAATAAAACCAAAAAGAAACAACGTGCTCCTCTTTCTTTTTGAACTTGAAAAACTTGGCTTCATCCAATTTGTTTTAGTCAATAGTCAATGTCATATGGTCGCTTTTAAATCATATGAAAACAGATGGGCTGTGTGAATGGACTATAATCTCCCAACTTGACTAGCTGGCCATTAGATAGTAATATCCTAGTAAAAGTCTTCCTAAAATGACCGGGATAAGATTTTTATTCTATTTGTTCATGAATTAAACCAGTATTTAAATTATGAGTATTCAAAACCGGCCCGTCCCAATTGGTTCATTCGGGTCCCAATCTTATTGGGACGAGACGCGGGACAGACTGTCCTGAAATTTTTTGAAACAGGATAAAAAAAGACTGAGACGGGACGGGACATAAAACAGAGTCATCCCATCTCAATCCCTTTTATTTTTTATCATATTTATATAATATCTTTTTTTTTTTAAGATTTGAGACTACTGCATGGAACTATGAATCTATTTATTGAGAGCTTTTATATTTGTTGATGATTTAAAACTATTGATGATTAGAATTTTTAGTAAGCTTTTATTGTGTAAAAAGCTTTTGTTTAGAGCTTTTAATGACTATTATATATAATATTTTGGGCTTTTGTCTAAGGTTGCCCAAAAAAATTAAAAAAAAGAAAATAAAAAGATATTTTTACAAAGTCTAAGCCTAAAACCTACAATTAGGGGGGAATCAGATTTTATTGTAACAGGCCCAATAACTCAAAAAAAATTTTTAAAAAAATTTATATCGAGACATCCCAGTCCCATCCCATCCTGACCGGGACCTAGATGGGACAGGATGCGGGACAATTTTTTATCCTGTTACTATTTATCAGGACAGAACCGGGACGGGCTTGTCCCGGTCTAGATTCGTCCCGTGAACAGCCCTAATTTAATTTTTTTTTGGCTAAAACATAGGTCTCCTCCTATTGGAAGCAATCCTATTCGAGGTACTGTCAAGCACTAAATGTGGGCACCTCTCTTAACGGGTATTCGAATCTTGGTTCGTCACGTTGTGAGGGATTAGCCCCTTCTACTAGACCCAACCCCTGTTGGTAGCCCCTTCTGCTAGTCATTAAAAGCTTTTGTTTAGAGCTTTTAATAACTATTTTATATAATATTTTGGTTTTTTGTTTAAGGGTGCCCAAAGAAATAAAAAAAGAAAACAAAAAGATATTTTTACAAGGCCTAAGCCTAAAACCTACAATAAGAAAAAAAAAAGAGTTTGTTATAACAGGCCCAATAACTCAAAAAACATTAAAAAAAAAATATCGGAACGTCCTAATCCCATCCTGTCTCGACCGGGATCGAGACAACACCAAGACTTGACGGGACGAGATGTGGGACAATTTTTCTGTCCCGTTACTGTTTATTAGGACGGAACCAGTACAGGCCTGATCCGGTCTCGATGCGTCCCGTGAATAGCCCTAATTTAAATGAAGCCAATATTAAGTCTCTTTCTCCTCTCGGGTCTTTCAAAATTTGGGCTCTGCCATGGGAGAGTATTTTCAAGCCCATGAATATATGTTTGGGAGATACAAGCCCATAGGTTAACTCAAAAGCTTGTCTCCAACTTTGGGCCGATCCTTAAGTACCGTGGTGGGCTTCGTCTTTAAGAAGACAAATTTTTCTTTAAAATAAAATATTTGTTATTTAAAAATAAACTAGAAAAATGAGCCTTCCCCCTTTCCTTCTTTTTCCCCCTTCTGATATTCATAGATTCCTTGCTTATCAAAATTTGAAAATAGATGCTTTAGATATCGTAGTTTTATTACGATGTTTCAAATTTCACAACATTATATATATATATATTTATATATATCTCTGTGTGTGGGTATTTGCCAACGCATGTCGTTTTAGATCTGCACGAAGAAATGAACGCCTTCAATGCTCGCCTGAAGTGTATACATAAAAGCAATATTAACGATATTGTGTTTTTTTTTATATAATGTGTGAGCTTTTGAACCCCAAAACATATTAAAAAAATGATGGGTTAATACAAAATTTGGTTCTTCAAATTTATCATCATTTTGGTTTTGGTTCCTTAAGTTTCAATCTATACGTTTTGGTTTTTCAAGTTTTTTTATTTAAAATATTAGTCCTTATAATTTAATAAAAATTTAGATCATTTTGCCCCTTGAGAGATCAAAACCTATGGTTTAAAACTTGAAGGACTAAAACCAAAATAAGGACAAATTTGAGAGACTAAAAATTATATTAACTGAAAAATGATTTATGCTCAAAACATGTAAGGTATGAAGCAAGAGCAATAGGCAAACACACAGATTACGCTTCAGAAAAGGACTTCATGCTCCAAAATAAACACAATGGTAAAAGCTAAATTGGATAAATTGAATTGTGTTTGGATTGGAATTCAGAAAAGCTAGTTCATAAAAGTGAGATTAATAAAAAGTTGTTTGGATTATGGTTGAGTAAAAGGAAGTTGGGTTGTAAAATAACTAAAATGGGTATTAGTTTTAATAAATAATGAAACATGATTAAAAAAATGATTTCACATAATACAATGAAATTAAAATAATTTAATATGAAGAAGTCAAATTTAATGAGTGGATTAAATTTTAAAACTTTAGAAAAATCATAAAAGATATTTTAAATATAAAGTGAAACATGAAAAAAATAAAAGTATATTTCTAGGAGCATATTTAAAAACAAAAGTATATTTCTAACTTATTTATTACTTTTAACTAATTTTAACTGATTTTTTGTTATCTACAAATTAGTTATTTGAAGCTTATAATAAGAAACAAAGGAGATAATAAATTTCTTAACTTTTTCTCTCTTCATGTTTTAAAAGCTATAAGTCATAAGTTGTTAATTTTAGCTTATAGTTTATTGTGACTTTTCATACAAAAACTCGATTGCAGAAAAACCCATCCATACAGTATTATTGTGTCAATCAGGCTTATAGTGCTTACAAGCTACTTATAAGCCCAAAATAATTGATGCCAAACAGTCACATAAAAAATGATTTCGTGATTGCATGACTTCTGGCAGCTAAGCATTCTTTTGTCTTTGCATTTGCCTATAAGCATTGGACAACATAGTGTTTTCATAACTAAGCACCCTTTTATCTATTTGGTAATAAGTTGCTGAGGGTCCTTAAATTGACATGGCAGCATTAGCTTTAAGTATGGTCTTGTGATTTTTAACTGTAAAATCAACCCATGCAGCTTTTCTCTTACGCAACTGTCACTATTAATCTTTTATTTCTTCAACGCCAATAGCTATAATATAGCCGAAGGACCAGATGCTTACAAACAACAAAGTACAAACAGCCAACATGATCTTAACTTCCATTTTTTTTAGATGAAAATCTTATACTACTAATAATATATTCTATGTTTTATGTTAAACATGAAAACGCTAAAGTTTTATGAACATAAACATTAAGGTTTTTTTATGCCCCGAAATCCTGCATCTGATTATGATTTATACTATACTAAAAATAACAATGTTTATGTGATCACATATAATTACGTTCATGTATATGCAACCATACATGTTGCCATGTTAGTGAGTTACTCGAAGTCATCGTCGCAGAGCTTTCCCTGGCGAGTTGTATAGTCTTGAAAGCCTTAGTAACAAAGAAATAGATTGTCTCATTAGTGAGTTGTAGCTTTGAAAAAATCTCACTCATTAAATTTGGCGCATAAACATTGTCATTGTTAGTGTCCAAATCAAGGGAGCAAATTAATATTCTCACAGTACTCCTTGGCCATAGCAGCAAGGAGTTAACATCTCATTTCCATATCTGAAGTAATCATCAGCTTTACTTATAATTGTACGCCATAATGGGATGTCTTGGCAAATGATCTTTTTTTTTTTGGCCAAAACAAGACGATTTTATTAATCACCAAAACAAACAATTACACACACTAATAGCCACTTAAGGCCTGAAAAGAAAAGACACTCAAAAGCCTAAACATACAACCTACCACACAGCAAAAAAATAAAGCACAAACCTAACATACAACCTAAAAAGCACAGTAAAAAGAACACAAGACAGCAAAAGAACAAAACAAACGAAAGGAGAAGCTGCATCAAGTTAGCCAATACCAGTTTTGTCAAACTCCCGATCATCAATGCCAGAAATAGGCCTTGCAGACTTCCTGTTGCTACCAATGTCCACATCCAGAATGTGTTTCAAAGCAGGTGCTGGATCAAAAATCCACCCCACAGGGCACACCTCTTTTCTACAACCCACAACAATCCAGTTTGCTGCCTCATTGCCTTTCCTAGGAGTCAAGGCAATTTCAAACCCTCCATAACCTTTCATCTCAAATATTACAGTCTGCAATTCCCATCTGCACCTCCAGTCAACATTCCCAGCAGAATTTGTTTTGCAGCACCAGAAGAGCTCAGAGCAATCAGTCTCCAGAACTGCATTTTTTAATTCTAGATCTTTTACAATACAAAATGCCTTTTGTAAAGCCAGAACTTCAGCTTCAAGAGCAGAATTAGCTATAACTTTATCAGCAAAGCCCCATTGCCAAATTCCGTCCTTATTTCTACACACAACACCTACAGCTGCTAAACCAGACTTCTCATCAAATGAGCCATCAAAATTTATCTTCATATAATTCCCTTCAGGAGCTTTCCATCCCATCTCAGCTACTACATTCTCATTTTGCCCTTCCACCACCTTGTCCACCCTTTAGCTTCCCAAAATTCCCTCACAGCTTTACTAGCCTCATTGATCACTTTGACCAGATTGACTGCTTTAAACTCAAAAACTGCATTATTTCTTTCTTTCCATATCAGCCACATTAACCAAGCTACATAAGCTAATTGAAAGTCATCAAGAAATTTTTCTTCTACTAAAACCTGCATACACCAGCTCCCTAAGTTACCAAAGCTTGCTTTCTCAAATCTCAGAGCCAGTTCACTGCCAAACCATACACTTTTAGCCCAAGGATAGGTAAAAAGGGCATGTTCTATTGTTTCAACCTCCTTATTGCAGATTGGGCAATTTACTGGGACTCTACATTTTCTTCTAGCAAGTTCTTCTCTAACAGGTAGAGCTCTCACCAAACATCTCCATATAAAATGGATAATTTTTGGTAGAGCCTTGATTCTCCAAACCTTCTTCCATAACTCCCCAGATAGAACCGTGGATGAACTCGCCCTGTCTACCACTTTAGTATTCATGTTTTTTGTTGCATAATACCCTTTTTTGACTTCATACTTTCCATTTCTTGCAACTTTCCAGACTGGTTCATCCTTTCTGTTGATGAAATTCAAAGGTACCTTCACAATCCATCCCAAGACCTCCTCACTAACCAGGCCCCTCATTCCTTCCAAATTCCAGCAACCTTCCTGAATCAGATCAGCTACACACCAATGCTTATTCTGATCAGGTACATTGACTTCTATAGTTTCTACTAGGCAGCCTTTAGCTTCTGGGATCCAGTTGTCTTTCCAAACATTAACTCCTTCTCTATTTCCGATTCTCTAAAAAATTTCCTTCTTCAAATAGTCCCTACCGGTCAAAACACTACTCCAAATCCAGGATGCTTTGCCCCCCTTCTTTGCTGCAAGGAAGCTTGAATTGGGAAAGTAAATCCCTTTTAAGACCCTTACCCACAATCATCAGGGTTATTCAGGATTCTCCAAGCAGCCTTTGCTAATAGAGCATCGTTCATAACTTCAAAATCTTTGAATCCCATTCCTCCATCAGATTTAGCCTTAGTCATGCTTTTCCAATTTCTCCAGTGAATATTTCTTCCTTCCTTTCTACCATCCCACCAAAATTGAGCAATAATACTGTCTAGTTCCCTACATATTTTCCTTGGGAACTTGAAACAATGCATCGGATAGATAGGCACTGCACTGATTACTGCTTTAATCGTCACTTCTCTACCAGCTTGAGTCAGAAGTTTGCTGCTCCAACCTTCAACCTTTCTCCCTACTCTTTCTTTGATATAAGCAAGGGCCTGCTGTTTATTCTTTCCCCACACATTCGGAACTCCTAGATATTTCCCTGGCTCATCAATATCTTTAACATTGAGGATTCTGCAAACCCAGTCCCTTACTTCTGGGGTGGAATTTTTAGAAAATAAGATTCTAGATTTTGTCAAATTAGCTAGTTGGCCTGAAGCCTCACAATAATCCTTAAGAATATTAGCCAATTTCCTACATTTATTTTTTGTAGCACACATGAAAAACATCACATCATCTGCAAAGAAGCTATGAGTTAACATAGGACAGCTATTAGCAATTCTAATACCCTTCAGCAAACCAGCATCAACATTCTTGGAGATCATTCTTGACATCACGTCCATAATAAGAATGAATATATGAGGAGATAATGGGTCACCTTGCCTTAAACCCCTTCCAGGTTTGAGCTCAGCTACTTTTCTTCCCGAAAGGCACAAATTCAGTTTCACAGTGGTGATACATCTCATTATTAGTCTTACCCATTTTTCACAGAAACCAAGCTTCAACAGAACAGCTTCTACAAAATCCCACTCAACTCTATCATAGGCCTTGCTCATATCCATTTTTAATGCAAAATCAACCCTTTTAGCTTTCTTCCTTCTTTTCAAAAAGTGGAAAATTTCATGTGTAACAATTACATTATCGTGAATCAGTCTTCCCGGGACAAAAGCACCCTGGTTCTTAGAAATACAAGTATTCAACCAAGGCTTCAATCTATTAGCAAGAACTTTAGAAATAATTTTGTAGCCAAAGTTGCACAAACCAATGGGTCTAAACTGACTGACATCCTCAGGTCTATCCACCTTTGGAATCTAAGTAATATTAGTCCCATTTAGTTCCTCAATGCAACCTTTTCCTTCAAAGAAATCTTTAACCATCAACCAGATTTCATTTTCTACTACTTGCCAAGATGAGTGGTAGAACTTACCATTAAAGCCATCAGGTCCTGGTGCCTTGCTGCCTCCTAGTTGAAATGCTGCCTCTTTTACTTCCAGTCTACTCACAGGACAAGTCAGAGTGTCATTTATCTCATCAGAAACGCAACTATCCACATCACCAAGCACCCTATCAAAACTTCTCTTATTAGCAGGTTTAAAGAGATTTGAGTAATAATCAGCAAAACAATTGGCAATATCACTTTCAGATTCCAGCCACTGCCCTTCACTCCCTTTAATCTTAAGGATAGCATTTTTTGTCTTCTTTGAACTGTAGTAAGGTGAAAGAATCTGGAATTCATGTCTCCAGCTTGTAACCATGAAATCCTAGATCTTTGCCACCAATAGAGTTCTTCACTCTGCCATAGTCTGTCCAGTTCAAATTCTATTTCTCCTACCCTTCTTGCCACTTCTTCAGAGAAATCGCCCTTATAACAATCTGCCAGCTGGTTAGTTAGTCTATCAATTAATTTCCTGTTGTTCGGGAAGGCCTTCCTCTTCCAAATCATCAATTCTTTTTCACAATTCTTCAATCTTCCGATTACATCCTTAATGCAGTCATCCTCCAATCCTACCACCCCTTTCCATCCTTTTTTGACAGTTGCTTCAAAATCAGGGTGAAAGATCCAACTATTCTCAAATTTAAAATTCCAAGGAGTTTTTACCACTAAAGCACAGGTCAATCACCAAAGGGCAATGGTCAGAGCCAATTGGTTCTAAATGGAAAACCTGAGCTTTAGGGAATTGCTCTTTCAACTCGATATTACCAAGAGCTCTATCAATTCTTTCTTTAACATGATCCTCCACTTCTCCTCTTGAGTAGCAAGATCATTAAAATCACCTGTACGAAGCCAAGAGCCACGTATATCTTGAGAGAGCTCCCTTATAATATTCCATATTCTACCTCTTTCTCTTTCCTTCACTGCACCGTACACAAAAGTCACATAATCTGGAATTTCAATAACCCCCGAGTCCACCTTTAGATGGATAATGTTTTTAGAGGCATTCAGCACCTCCACTTTAATTCCTTTGCACCACCAAACACACAAACCACCACTCCTTCCCACAGGGTCAACTTCTAACCCATCCTCCATTCCACAACGCCTTCTCAACTTATCCACCACTTTCTTTTTCTGTTTAGTTTCCATTAAGTAGATAATATGGGGTTTTTTGCTCCTTACCACTTGTTTCAGGTTTCTTACTATCAAGGAAACCCCTAACCCTTGACAGTTCCAGTACAATATGCTCATGGCTCTTTGGTGGCTATTTGAGGCCAGCCACCAAGACCCTCAGCAAAATCATTTAACTCAACCGTGCTTCCTCTATTTGTACCTGAATTATCAATCACAGCATCATAATTCAGTTCGGCATCTACCCTTAGGTCTCCATCTCTTCTCATTCTATTGCCTTTCCTTCTCATTTGTCTTTTAGCCATTCGAACATTTCTGCTGCCTCTTTTACTCATTACTTCATGCTGCACTGAATCAGTTTCTACCAGGTTATCAAAGTCAAGCCTCCTTTTCTTTACTTCCACCTCAGTATCACTTTCCTCAAATCTTCGCTTTAGGCCAACTTTCTCCAATCCCTTCATTACTTCAGACATAGGAGAAATACTACCATAAACAATAACTGCTTTGGTTAAATTTTCATCAGCAACATCCTTTCTTTCTTTTGTTTTCCAGCAATCTTCCATAGCTTCTTTTCTCTATTCAATTTTTCCTTTAGAACTGTTCAAGATCACCAGTTCTTTCCCATTTCCTTCATTTTCTTTTCCAGTAGAATCAGTAAGATTTTTATCACTTTCACCATTTCTTCTCTGCTGATTGGTTTCATCAGTTGCTTCAACCTTCTCAGTTTCCTTATAATTACAATCCGGCTTGGAGTTCTTGACTACTCCAGCTTCACTACTGCTTTTATTTTCAATTGCTTCCACTTTTTTATATGTTTTCCCTGCTCTACTGCCTCCTAGTTCTTCCCAGTTCTCCTTGCAGACTTTTATTAAATCGTCCATCCATTTCGCTGCTTGAACACCAAGCCAACTACCATATTCGACCTCCACCTCATCTTCTTCCTCCTTCTTTTTAAGGCAAGTTCTCAAATCATGCCCAATTACACCGCAGGCAAAACAGAAATTCTGTAATCTCTCATACCTGACTTTAATTTTGATTGGATCCTTTCCAGGTCTAGGAGTTCTTAAACCAGAAATCAAAGGCTTCCTTAGATCCACTACAACTCTTACTCTTAAGGAGCTTCTAACAATCAAATTATTTCTCCTTGGATCCTCAGCCAACTTTACCTCTCCGATCTTCTCTCCTAACCTTATTGCATTCTCTACATCAATCGTTGCAGGAGGTAAACCATGGAATTGGATCCAAAACAGACAGAAATTAAAGTCGATTTCATCAAATGGCGTATCTTCATTCCAGCATTGCACATTCAGCAGGCATCCATTGATTGACCATGGCCTTCCACGTAAAATTCTTAAGTATTCATCTCTACGTTGGAAATTAAAGATGAAAGCCTTGCGATCGATTTCCACAATCTCAAGATCTTCTCTACTCATCAGATTCCAACCTTTTCGTATCATCTGAATCACCGTAGCAGAGTTTAGGTTCTTCTCTGTTATCATTTTTCCAGCTAGAGTTCCAACATTCAATTTCTTCGCATCTGACTCATTCCAAACCAGATCTACGTTCAAGTCTTCCAGTCTTCTCCCTGATCCTCCTCCTTCATTCCTTCCTTCCCGAGCCATCCTAAACTCCTTTCTTCCTTGCTCACTTGATCCTTTGTTACGAAGAGTAACAAAGAATCTCACTCTTTTACTCTGTCGCAGTGGGTGACAGAGATCACTCAGCTCCCTCCTCACCATTGCAGGGAGCGACGGAGTAGTGAGGCACAGAAGGCGACGATAACCGTCATAACTAACTCCCACTCTAGGAGAGAGAAAAAGCTCCCACTATGGAGAGAGACTTGGCAAATGATCTTTTCATTGTCTCTATTTTATAGCACAGATATGTTTCGCACTTTCAAATTGATCCGGCAATTGAGTGGAATTAAGGGAATAAAGGTTAAGTCAATAACTCTCTTGTCATATGTAATTTTAAACTTTTGACTTGCAACTCTTGGACTTTTTCTTGTGATCAAGGATGAATAGCTTTTCCTTGTCAAGTTAACTTTTTCAGAAATTTTGATCGGTTTCATTAGAGACAAATTTTACAGCCTGCACCGCACTTTTGCCGGACAATTTTGCATTACCAAAAGTTATCTGCATACGAAGCTCTGTAGTACTTGCAAGTCATTAGTTTAGAATTTAATTATTCATAGGATAAACCACCACGGTCCACATTATACATTCTAAGCAAAGGTCACAGTACGCGTCCAAAAATCTGCACAACATCTAACATCTTCCAATGTGCCGTA